GTCTTTCCTGCTCACAAAACATCTTGCTCACTCTGCTGGTTTTTCTTTCCTGAGAAGGCAGGTGATGAGGAGCGCTAATGTAAACCCTAAAGTAGAAAGTAGCAGACTAATGGAAACAGTGGTAGAATGAAAAGAAGCTAAGGAAGTGTAACGGTTGGAGAGAGGACCCCCGTATAATAATAATTACATGTAAGGAAAAGCACCAAAGTTGAACTGAAATCAAATCAAATCTATTTCACCAAGTCATTTCTGGCGACCTCTAATTGTAACCGGTTTAGGCTAACGAATTGAACACCTCCGCTCCATGCAGCCCTGGGAAATCTTGCACTGCCTCTGAGCCTGTCTGATCAATCTGTGCTTGAAATTCAGAAGAAAGGGTTATTGCTTGACACCAAGCCTTCATTTCCTCCCAGCCACAGTAGGTAGCTACCAACCCTCCCAACTTCTGATCTAGGGCCTGAGGGAGAAGGTTTCTTGCCATTTCAGATGTGCTAACTAACCACAAGCCCTGACTGCACAGTCCTAGGGATGTTTAATTAAGCAGCTGGGAGGTTTGGGAGGTAGATCTCCTCTCTTCAGTCCCATGAGGAACGACAATGGTCTCAAAGTACTCAGGACTGTGGTGTTGGAGCAGGTTTCATACCCAAGCAACACCAAAGTTTCCCCTATTCATTTGGAGCCATGCCTCAGCTGGACGTTGCCTCTCTTCCCTCAACATCTACAGGCTGAGCACTCAGCTGGCCCAAGTGCCAGCACCAACGTAGTCTTCATAGGAAGCCAAGATAGTGTTTCTTGGTTCTAGTTATGGCATGATTTCCTGCAGAGAGAGATGTATCAGCACAATCTGTCTCTCTCTCTCTTTTCCTTGTTTGTGCTCTGTCATGAGTTTTGCAAAGGTTGTCTTCCTTAGGTCCTCTTCCTTGGATCTCTCCAGGGTATTTTAACATTTGCAGCAGGGGTTTGGACTAGACAGCCTCTTGAGATCCTGTCCAGCCCTACTTTTGTCTGATTCTAAATTATGGTACTAACTGTTCATCTGTACCTTCTTTCTCCTCAGATGGCTGCGGTTCCCCACCAGAATTAAGCTTGGGTGAACTAAGGAGCGAATATAAGGATCAGAACAACTTTTCGGCTGGGGACGTTGTGAAATACGCGTGCCAGCCTGGGTACCTTAAGCATCCAGGAGTCCCATTTTCCATTACTTGCCTTGAGAGCGGGGAGTGGACAGAAGCCCCTGACATCTGTAAAAGTGAGTAGCTCCATTGCTTTGGTGTCCGAAAAGGCCCTCCAGGCACTAGTCTTGCCCATACTGCAAAAACATAACGGTAATGGCTGTTTGCTGGGTTTGTGTTTTGTGGTTAAATGGTCAGTGTGTGACTAGCAAAGCCAGGCAACTCATCCTGCTCTCTGCTCCTGAGGATACCGTCTCCGTGGGCAGTTTGAAACATGGCCAGATTGTTGTACTTGCTGCACAGTGACCCAGAAAGAGAAAAACCTCACACTCGCCTTTTTCTTTCCCAGGGAAATCGTGCGGTCACCCGGAAGAGCCACAGAACGGCAGAGTCATCGTCCAATCAGATATCCTGTTTGGGGCCACCGTGAACTACACCTGCGAGGAAGGGTGAGTCTGGGCTGTCTGAGCGCACTGCTTACACTTAGCTTGGAGCTCTGCAGTGCATAGTGATTCCCCCTTCGTCCCCCTGCTCCCGTGTGCAGCTTACTCTTGCACAGGAAGCCAAGACAGGTGTTTTGGTCTCAGTTGTAGCACTGTTCCCTGCAGAGAAAGCTGCCTGAGCACAATCTCACTCTTTTCCTTGCCCGCCCTCTGCAGTGGCTTTTGCAAGGTGAGGGGTGCTGTGTCCAGCTCAGCGCCCGCCTGCAGGTGCTGAGGGAACAGGAGGGTTGGTGGCTACCTCCTGTGTCTGGGAGGAAGTGGGGGCTCAAATCAAGTGATGTGGGGTCAAGCAATAACCCCTTTTCTCACTTCAGGCACAGGTTGGTTGGACAGCCTCAGAGGCACTGTCAGCTTTCTCAGCAGAGGGTTGCATGGAGCGGAGAGGTTCCTGTTTGTCAGCGTAAGTAGTCACAGGTAGAGGTGGTCAGCAATCGTTCCCTGAAATAATAGCTCACTGGGACATACCATTTAAATAACCTGACTCAGAGAGAGGCGTCTCAGGCCTATTGTTGCGTTTCTTTTCCAGCAGAAAATGTGACAATGTCTTGTTATTACCCCTGCCTGGAAAAGGGAAAGGTTTAAAACCTCAAAGTTTTTTGGAAACGGATTTTTCCCTTCGGGTCTTGTCCTGGCTGCCTGTCTTATGGCTGTGTGGCCCATTGTGCTCTGATCTCTGTGCATCTCAGAAGTTTAAGAAAAGGGAAAGAAGATATATTACCCTCTCTACCTTCGCCCCACAGTCCCTGTAGATGGGGAACTGAGGTGGAGCTGCTTACAGAGATCACATGATAGCTGT